GAATATCTCACCAAAATGTCCAAAGAAACTTTGTCTTTGCAAATTTTAACACTCATTCACCTCTTATTTCCTTGTCGTTTTATCGGGCCTCTTCTCTTTCATAGTGCAGTATTTCCACTGCATCTTGAATTTGACTGCTTTCAGCTCCTCTCCTGCATTTAGATTTATTTGTATATTCAGAGGTGGTGATAACGGAGCAGAGACAAGAACGAGAAGGGCGTAGGCTATATGATTATATAGAACATTCCAGGCAGCGTGAACCGCAAATGTACATGCTTTGAGGTGGGAATGAGCTTTGGGTGATTCGGGAGCAATAAACAGACCAGAACAGAATTAATGAGGGGGGTAAGCAACAAGAAAAAAGGGAGAATGTCGGAAGAGGCCAAGTCTTGTATATATTTTTGTTAATTATCAGGAATTTGGATTCTTTCCTGAAAGTGACTAGAAGGCATGATCTAATTTATATTTTTCCAATTTTAAATTAAAAAAAAACACTTTTGTTAAGTGAGATAAAAACTAGAAAACCATATTAAAATACACAGCTTAATGAATTACTGTAAGGAAGATATCCTTATAAAAATTTTTTTAATGTTTATTTTTAAGAGAGAGAGGGAGAGAGAGAGAGCGTGAGCAGGGGAGGGGCAGAGAGAGGGAGACACAGAATCTGAAGCAGGCTCCAGGCTCCGAGCTGTCAGCACAGAGCCCGACGTGGGGCCCGAACTCGCGAACCATGAGATCGTGACCTGAGCCGAAGTTGGACACTTAACCGACTGAGCCACTCAGGTACTCCAGGCAGATATCCTTATAAACACCTTGAGCAGAAAGAAGCAAAACATTTTAAAATAATAACTTCAGGCTTACAGAGAAGTTGCACAACTATATAAAGAATTTTCACCTACTCTTCACCCAGACTCTCCAAATGAGGAGATAAACCTTTTCCAACTACCCCTTAAGCCCTTTAGCTGCCTCTGCCTAATCACAACCCTCTTTCCTCCCTCCCTGATAAATCAGCTTCCAACCACGTCAAACCTTACCAAGCGCCCCAGATTGCTTGTACCTCTCCAATTAGTCTGCTAATCTTTCGGATGAAAATGGCTGTTTTGAGGTTCTCGGGTCTGCAGATACCGTCCATCACTCCCTTCTGCTTTTTCCTGCACAGATGCAGAGAGGGTTGCCTGAATGGGGACAAGGGTCAGGAGAGGAAAAGCCGCTGGGAGGCCACTTCGGTAGTGCAGACTGGGGGTGCTAGTGGTTTGGATTCGAGTGTTGGTGGTGGAAAGTGGCAAGAAGCTACTTTGAGCATAGAACTCACAGCATGCTGGTGGGTTATAAATGAGTGTGGAGGAAGAGGGACGTTAAGAAGGATGAGCACGTTTTGGCTTGAGCAGGCGAATGGTGACACAGTTGCCTCAGATGGGAAAGAGGGAAAAGGCAGGATGGAGAGCCAATTGAAATATGTGTGCTTTGAATATTTTAAGTCTGAGATGGTCATAAATCATCCGATTAGAAGGCTGAGTAGGCTGTTGAATATGAAGCCTGAAGTTGAGAAGATGGGCTCACAATAGCAGTTGAGTTTTATTGGCTTATGGCTGGTATTTATTTACTTATTTATAAAAAAAAAAATTGTAATGTTTATTTATTTTTGAGAGAGAGATAGAGCCGGGGAGGTGCCGAGAGAGAGGGAGACACAGAATCCGAAGCAGGCTCCAGGCTCTGAGCCCTCAGCACAGAGCACGACGCGGGGCTCGAACCCATGAACCGTGAGATCATGACCTTAGCAAAGTCCAGCGTTTAACCGACTGAGCCACGCG